TTAAGAGACTCTTTGTACAAACATATATTATTGTGCTTGCATCGGCAGCATATATACTAAAATTGGAATGATGCAAAACATACATTACATTATCTATAATTGAAGTTTGGGATGGTAATTAAGTGGTGTAATATCTAAATGAAGTAATAATGCCAAATAATATTACTGTATTGCAAAATATGGATTATATATCATTTAATAAAGTTGAGTGTGAACAAGGTATTCTCGATCCTAATTAGAGTAGCCTCTTCTAGTGATTTATAGACAGCACTCGCGCACACCCCCCATAAGACTGATTATAAAACATATGATATATAAAATGTATTGTATAAAATATAATATATATATATATAGTGTGTGTCAGACTGGTTAAGGTACAGAGAATAAGAAACTGTGGATTGCTCAGCCATGATGTATGTCACTTCTGATTCTACTGAGTCTCAGGGATCACTGTTAAATAGTGGACAGAAGGGTTGTAAAATCAGGACATAGAAGATGATTCCAATAAACAATGTGTTTAGACCACAACAGGGCAATTGTCCATATGAAATCACAGCGTTTGTGATAGCATGCAAAACATTTGAGCATGATCAAGCCAGGAAAACTCCAGGAGGGAAGGAAGAGGTGGTCACATTCATACAAATAAATGAAGAGCAACTGATGGCTCTAGAAGGAGAATCTGTTTTCTTAAAAGATCCAGCTGCTGAGGCTTATCTATCCATCAGTGCAAGTAAACCCATACAATATAGTGGCAGCACTGAGTGAATTCAGTATGTTGCAAAATACAAAAACAAAACACAAATAAACACATGAAGTTAGAAGGAAATGCTGGTGAGGGAGGAACTTAGGGATCAAGGAAAGATTGCGCTTGAAAAAATGTCTTTGTACACATATAAAAATTTACAGCCAATAAAACATTCAAAGTTTCATTCAATTTTCAAATTTTCATATTTGATATTATATTGTAAAATTAAGGTAATTCAGAGCAAATGTTCTTTTATTCTTCTAATGGGGGAATGTTTCTGCCTATGAGACCACGGGGCATTATAGCCAATCTGTGAGGTTTTAAATACTCAGCTTACCGAGACACACAGAGCTGAACTGGACTCATGGGCTCTACTTCTAACTTTAATTATGACTCACTGAATAAACTTGGAAAACTCACTTAACCTTCTGTGAACAAGTTACCTTGTTATAAAAGGAGAAAAACAGCATTTGACTCTCTTGGGTGTTATGTCCAATAAAATAAAAAAAATAAAAAAAAAAGAAAAAGAAAGCCAGTAACAGAGAGGGAGGACTGATGACCAAAGGGATTAAGACTGGGCTGGTTTAACCCCAGAAACAGCTGACCTGACAAGGGTTAACTCTTGCATCCTAGACTGATGCCTGGGAATCCAACATGGGACTGATCAAGACCCCCTGAATGTGGGTGTCAGTGAGGAGGCCTAGGTAATCTATTGAGCCTTGGGCAGTAGTTCAGTATTCATCCCAAGTATACACATGGACTTTGGACTCCCATCCAACAATGTGAAATGCACTCTCACCCTGAACTCTTCGGGGAGGGTCTAGGCCCTGCCCTGGATGAAAGGACAGACTATGGACACCCCCATGGAGGGCCTCACCCTCCCTAGGGAAATGAGGGGATAATGGGGGGATTGGGGGGGCGGGCACGGGCAGAGGGGAGGGAAAGGGAGAGGGACCTGGAACTGACTTGTGAAGCAACCTTTTTTCTAATCTAAATTTAAACTTAAAAATAAAATAATAAAAAAAGAAAGTGCACAACTTCCTTAGCCATTAGGGAAATGCAAATCAAAACAACTCTGAGCTACTATTTTCTTTCTGTCAGAATGTCTAAAAACAAAAACACCAATGACACTTTATGCTGGGTAGGATATGGAGGATGGGTAACATTCCTTCATTGCTGGTAGAAGTGCAAACTTGTTCAGCCACTTTGGATATCAGTATGCAGATTCCTTGGGAAAATGAGAATCAGTCTACCACAAAATCCAGCAATTCTACTCTTAGGCACATACTCAAAAGATGCACATTCTTACAACAAGGACATTTGTTCAATTATGTTCATAGCATCATCATTTGTAATGGCAGAATCTGGAAGCAACATAAGTGTCCCTCAACTGAAGAATGGAAAAAGAAAATATAGTACATTTACACAATTTAGTTACACTCAGCGGGGGAAAAATGGGAAATTTAAATTACCAGGCAAATGGATATATCTAGAAGAAACCATCCTGAGTGAGGTAAACCAGTCAAAAAAACGACAGAAATGGCATTTACTCACTCATATATGAATTTTAGCCATAGAGGAAAGGATTATCAGCCTACAATCCACACTGCCAGAGAACTAAGAGAGATATACATGGTCTGCAAGAGAAGGGAAAAAGGACAAGAGCTCCTAGCTAATTGTGAGCATTGGGGGAGGGGAGAGAGAGTTAGGAAAAAGAGTAGGGAAGAAGAGGGATGGAGAGGAGGACTTGAGTGAGCAGGAAGATTGATTCAGGGGAAGCATAGAGGAGAGCAAGAAAAGAGATACCATAATTGAGGAAGCCATTATATATTTGAAGAGACATATTGGCGCTAAGGAAATGTCCATAAACCTGCAAGGATGATCCCAACTAAAAATCTAAACAATAGTGGTGAAACTACCTTAAATGCCCTTACCCAATAATGAGATTGATGACTACCTTATATGCCATCCTATTCATTTAGATCTGCTGGAAGCAGAAAGCAGATACCCACTGAGCCAAATTCCATGAATCCATTTGCAGAGAGGGAGGAGTGATGAGCAAAGGGGTCATGGCCAGAATGGGAAACTCACAGAAACAGCTAACCTAAAGATGTAGGAGCTCATGGACCCTGGACTAGTAGCTAGGAAACAGCATCGGACCTGTCCAAACACTCTGAGGGAGGGCTTATGTCAGGAGTCCTGTGTAATCTATGGAGCCTCTGGTAGTGGATCAGTATTTATCCCTAGTACATGAACGGTCTTCGGGAGCACATTACACATAAAGGGATACTGTCTCAGCACAGACAACTGTGAGGGCATAGGCCCTGCTCCAAATGATATGGCAGACTTTGAAGTTCCCCCATGGAAGGTCACACCCTCCCTGGGGAGATGAAAGGGGATCAGATAGGGGATTGTTGGGGACAGGGGATGAGGAGAATGAGCGGGAACTGGGATTGACAAGTAAAACATTTTCTAATTTAAATAGAAAATGAAGATTTGTCAGAGACTTATACAAAAGTGTTTGCTCTCATTCCTGTAGAGGAAATTTAGAAAAAATGATGTCCTAAACATTTACTGATTGACTAATATTTCTGTGCATATCCTGACCCTAATCAGAGATGTTTCTTCTTTCGCTATGTACAAATATCACAAAGATATGAATATAGGCTATGGGCCTGATATGCTTTGTGGTATTATGACCTGATATTTCCTGCAGTGAAACGACTGTCATAAAAGCAGAGATATCTGTTACAAAAGGTGGTAGAAAGTTTCTAACACATTCACAGCTGCCGTATGAGTCTATAGTTACAATGTTTAACACTCTCAAATTTACTATCAAGCATAAAATTTCAGAGTCAAAAGTAGCAGACACAGGATCAGATCTTGACAGGCTCTAAAGTTACCAAACAGCAGACCCAGTAATGAAGAAATCTGGTGTGTTAGTTATTTTTAAGTGAGGCATGCAACACTTCACAGTCATTATAAATAAATAATTGCATGCAACAAAGCTTATGCAGCAAAGATGCTTTAGGAAGGAATGTGCAGAGAACAACAACAACAAATGACAATATACAACAGTTTCTGTGTGATAAAGGAAATTACAAATGAAAATGAAGATTAGAAGGTTTTGTCTCTGAGACTCTAAATGTTTGTTTTTCTCGAGACGGGGTTTCTCTGTATTGTTTTGGAGCCTGTCCTGGAACTCGCTCAGTAGATCTGCAAGCATTTTGCGTCCAGTTTTTTCAGAGTTCCAATACATACTCATGAAATATTTAGTTCTCTGTTCAAATATGAATATTGAAACTTTGACATAATTCACTTCATCATTTTTCCCAGTAGAATTCAGTTCCCAACATCATTATCACTACCCATCCTTTGTTCATATATTTTCTCTCTCTTAGTGAAAATTGATTTCATAATCATCCCCTTTTTTCCTGATAAGGAAGGAATTCATGAGAACAAGTATAGCCTGGCAAGGCCAGGTTACATGAGAAATTCTCTCTTTTCCTTATGTCAGTTCGTTTGGTATTATAGGTAATTTGATAATATTTGCTTAATGATCCTCAGAGTATATGTGAATGTTGATTTGTGAAACGTGTGTGTGTGTGTGTGTGTGTGTGTGTGTGTGTGTGTGAGTGTGTCTGGAATCTCAGCAGGTAAAAGTATGCAGAAGCTATCGTCTTAGTACCATGCAAAGTTGTATTAACAATGGCAGATTAACATAGTGTTTCTCACAGGGAAGGAATTTGCTAAACAGGGATTGAATTATGTCCGTTTAACTCAGTGCTATTGCTGACATTACCTATGATTCATGACCTGGGAATATATGGTGATACTAGTAGGCCATATTTGTAATAGCTACAATCTAGAAATATATCCCAGTTATTCATATTTCCAAGAAATCAAGTTTCTCTGACAGAGCCTTTAGCTAGACCCTGCAGATTATAGATATAAAAGAGAAACTAAATATGAGGGATAATTGTCAGAGAACTCATAATTGTTCCTCTTATGAATGCAGCAATTCTACATCTTTCCTATCTTTGATATTACACTTGCATTCACTAAGTTACCACACTTGACTACTGAATAAAACTTTAGGACCAAGAATGTTTTGGCTGTTTGTCTGGAATTCTTACATATATGAACAAAATCATTGCCAAGGAGTATCCTGTATTACAAACTTAAAATTCCATAAAATTGTGTTCCATCATTATCCTTCTCAAAATAACTTTTTAAACTATTTCTATTACTACAGAGCTCTTAAAGTCATCACCACAAACTACTAATATTGCTGTTATTCCTCATCATACTCATCATGCCATTTTCATGTGAAAACCTCAGTTAACTACTGAAATTATCAAGGTAATCCTGATGATTTAACCAACTCTTCAAATCTGAAAATTTAGCATCTTTAACCCATCGTAGGGAATTGCTGCCTTGGTTCCCAAAGACATGTCAGAATTTTTCAAACTGTTTTGAGTAATGCATACAAATCGCAAGCAGGGATACCAGAGCAGTAGAATACTGGTAACAGGAAGGAGAGAGTCACCATCAGAGATATGCGATGTAGCTACCAAGGGAGCAAAATTGCAGGGCATCACTAGTAAGCCAAGATAAAGTGGTGATACACAGTTTAATAGAAATGGCTTAATCATTTATGAGACAGCTAACCTAGGGAGTCTGCCTGGGAATCCAGCATGGGACTGATCAAGACCCCCTGAATTAGGGTTTCAGTGTGAAGGCCTAGGTAATTTATTGAGCCTTGGGCAGCAGATCAGTACTCATCCCGAGTATACACACAGACTTTGGACTCCCATCCAACAATGTGAGGTGCACTCTCATCCTGAACTCTTGGGGAAGGGTCTAGGCCCTGCCCTATATGAAATGACAGACTATGGACACCCCCATGGAGGGCCTCACCCTCCCTGGGGAAATAAGGGGATAATGGGGAGGGTTGGGGGGGAGGGTACGGGAGGAGGGGAGGGAAAGGGAGAGGGACCTGGAACTGACTTGTGAAGCAACCATGTTTCTTATCTAAATTTAAACTGAACAGTAAATTAAAAAAGAAACAGTCAGATATTAAAAAAAAGAGACAGCTAACCTAAAGAAGCTTGTTTGTAATTTAAATTTAAAAAGTAAACAAACAAACAGAGAGAGATACAATAACAAACCTGACCTATTGGTCAATCAGTGTATAATTAATATAAAATTACCTGTGTGTTTATTTGTTATTAGGAAGCTGAAAGACCAGTTGGGATAGAAATCTCCATCTACCAGAAACTTCCATTTAAAATAAATTTAATAAGAAGTAGTATTTATTTTGACATTTAATAGAGTAGACACGGAATTGAAGGTAGAAGGAGAAAGAAGAGTGAATATACTTTTCATGTATGTATTTCTCAGCATCGTTCAAAAATACTTTTATGTGTACTTGTGTGTACGCACGCACGCATGCACACACATACACCCACCCCCCCACACACACACATGCACACATACGCACATGTACTTATACATACACATTTTATGTTCGGTTTTCATTATAAAACTGCCCAGAAGTCACATGTGTCTGTACTGAAAAGTTGACATAAATTTCTGAGGGATTCAGAAAATTGGTGGAAAATTACATATTGACAAATTTTTCCAGTCTCACCTTTCCTACCATGTGAGAATTTCAGATTGTATGGTAGCAGACACAAGAGAAGACTATCACAGTAGCCAGAAATAGAAAAATAGCAGATCCAAGAACAACAAAATCTGGTTTCTTAATTATTTTCATGGGAGGCATGTGAAAGTTCAAAATCCCTGTAAGTAAATTGTTTAACAGAATTGTCATGCCTGGCCTAATATCAAGGAAAGGAATGGCTTCACAAGGAGCAAAAAAAATCACAAGAAATTCTATATGCCAAAAAGCAGGGACAATGCAAACCTAGATTAGGAATTTAAACTCTGAGACTCTAATGGAAACAGGATGATTTAAAAGCAAGTTTCATTTGCCGTTTTTTATGGTCCCCCCCATATCTTATAGTGAAAGGTGGGGTAGCATCTGCACAAATATTACTGCTCAAATTTTTCAGTGACCTAATGGTCCCTGTAGAAATCTGAGAATGTCATTAGCATTCCTCTATTTGATATTCCAGGAAGAGAAAGAGCAGCACTCCCATAGACTTTGTCAGATACGAAAGCCTGAAGTTTATTAACTTCTTTGCAGGTAACTCAGTACTTCAAGACTGAGAAAAATATGTCACCTCTGAAAGGGGATGCAGTAGTTTCAGAAGCAGGGTCCTACTTTATTCACAGGAGACAAGAGCAGGGGACTCAGAACTGTAATCTTTGGAATCAAACAATTACTGTTTGCTATGTTCCACAGCTCTGTCTCATGGAGGTATCAGGAGCACTCTGCATTGTCTGGTTCAATATGCAGAGAGATTTTGGCTACACCCAGGATCAACTGATCCCTTGAATATACCAGAGTCTAATTGTTCAGAAGCCACATTGCTGACACTTTTTTAGCATTCCTTGACAGTGATTGAAGGAATGTGTGCATTCAAATTGAACATGGCATAAGGGAAAATAAGAAGAGTGATCTCAATTCCACCAAGAGAGGCAAATCCTAAGGTAATCATGGAGACCTCCATCAGAACTGCTGATTGATTTCACCTCTTCCTCCATCTAAACGTGTGCTGCAGGAGAAGCAGCAAAATTGAAAGTGCACCACAGGAAAAAACAAGGTAAAGATTTCTAAGGTGATTGTAATTCTGGGGTGCCAAATGCAGCTTCCTGCTGATAGTTTCCCATATGCCATGTCAGATTTCCTTATGACAATGATTAAAATCTTCATTATATCATTTCAATATATTTATAGATTGCTTTGTTTCTGCTATATGATTGCATGAAAGCCTGAAATAAGGTTCTTGTTTTATATATAGAAATCCTACTTTCAATTCTGCTGTGAACATATGCAATTTGCTTATGAAATCTAACAGTGTCATTATTAACTAAGAATATGAGATAATTTTTAAAGAAATATTCATAGTACATGTATGATTTCAACAATTTTGAATGTTTATGTACTTCTATGTTGTGTGTGACTGCACACATGTCCTCAGTCATTCACATTCATTTTAGATTCAGAATTCTAATAAATACTCATGTAATATTGTGCATGGTGTTAAAATCTTAATCTTAAATTTCAAAGAATTCCTGCCACTTCCTTCAGTGGAAATTAGCTGCCATCATTGTCACTACTATGTCTTTACTTCAAAAAATTACCCCCTTTTTAGTAACACCTGAGTTCATGGAAATCCCCAGAGATTCTTTGTTATGAGGGAATCTATTAGAAAAATCTGCAAGCTTCACTGTCAGAGAAAGTATGTCTTTCTCTTTTCTCAAATCCCTCATTATTACATTAAGGCAATTATTACTATAAGGAAATCTGATCCCATTTGCTTAATGATCATTCTTCACAATATAGTAGTATATCTTCTGTGTTTTCCACTGTAACTCTTACAGATGCAATCTCAGATTATTTAACTGTACTTAATTTATCATCATATAGTGGTAACATGCAATGGTTTATTAAAAACTGAAGATTGACATTGTGTTCTCACAGGTAACGAATTTGCCAAACATGGATAGCAGCTGGTCACTATTGCTTTGGGATATCCCTGACATTATCTATGATACATATCTTGGGACAGCATGGTGATTGGAGTATGCAACAAATTTAATATATGTCTTCCAAAACAGATGCCAGTTATTCATATTTACAAACAATCAAGTTTCTGACAGAAGCTTCAACTAAGCTATGCAGACTATATCAAAAAAGGCCAACTATGACATAAAGGATCTTAGTTTCAGAACACACAGCTATTCCCCTTACATTAAAAAAAAAACTAGTCTACTCCTTTTGAATCTCTGCTACTATACTTGCCTTGACACAGTTTCAACATTTGCTTTCAGACTGCTCAACTAACACATTAGGATCCATCAATGTTTCTGATGTTTTTTTTTAATAATTCTCACCGATATGGAGGCCTAGGTAATCTACTGAGCCTTGGGCAGTAGATCAGTATACATCCCAAGTATACACATGGACTTTGGACTCCCATCCAACAATGTGAGATGAACTTTTACCCTGAACTCTTGGGGGAGGGTCTAGGCCCTGCCCTGGATAAAATGACAGACTATGGACACCCCATGAAGAGCCTCACCCTCCCTGTGGAAATGAGGGGATAATGAGGGAGTTGAGAGGAGGGCATGGGAGGAGGGTAGGAAAAGGGAGAGGGACCTGGAACTGACTTGTGAACCAACCATGTTTCTAATCTAAATTTAAACATAAAAATAAAAAATAATAATAATAGAAAGATTTCTTAACACAAAAAATGATAATTTTCACCAATATGGAACAAGGAAACCCCAAGAAGTCTCTTGTACATATAGCCTCAAAATTCCATAAAATTATGTGCTGTAATCATTTTTCTTGAAAATAAGATTCTTTTTATTTATTTTTAAAACTACTAAACTCTTAGAGATATCCCCCTGAGCTATTAAGAGAACAATGATTTCCACTCATAATTGGTATGTTCTTTTCCTGTCAAAACCTCAGCTTGCAGAACTAAAATGTAATTAGGTAAACTTGATGATGCAACATCTTCTTCAAATGTAAAACTTAACAATATTTGTCCGTTCATAGGGTATTACTGCCCTGGTTCCCAAAGACATGCCTGAATTTTTGATTTTGACTCTTTTGAGAAATGCAGACAAATTATTTCCAATTTAGTACCCAAGCTCAATACTCATGCCTAGAGGTATAGTAGACATGGATTGCGACCTTAGTTAACAATATCTTCGCATGTTTATTATTTTTAAACGTGTCGTAAATATTTATCCAAATATCTATAGACAGCTTTATTGGAATTATAGAAAAAAATCATTTCACAGAACTGTTTAAATGTTTGTAACTGCACAAATTGATAAGGACTTAAAATGTGTTTTCTGGGACTCCCTTATCAATCCATGCAACATAGAATTGTTTCTAGAGTCAGAAAATACCGCAAACAATTTTCAGACACAGTTTATTAGTCTAAAGAATAGGATTCCTCCTGTGGAGAGACTGTCTTCTAAGAGGGACAGGGAAGTTATAGGCACACGTTTTAGAAAACATCAACACCTCCACCACCTCCTCAAACAGCAACAACAACCTCAGAAAAATTGAAAACAAACAAAAAATCAGAAAAACATTTTAGGATGATAATGCAAATTGTCATACAGTACAGATTGAAAACACTATGGACTTCCTACACTTAGCAGAAAAGTTAAGGAAAAGACGGTGGGCGTTAAGAAAGGAAGGACCAGTTTTTACTGGACAATAACTTTGTTAGACCATTCAAATCAGAACATCAATGCGAAAAGTGGTTACACATAATCACCACAATGTACACAGTGTGGGTTAAGAATGATTAAATATGTGTAAGTATGAATAAGTCAATTTAATAAGAAGTGGAATTTATCTGAGCATTTAATAAAGCAGACATTGAATTGTAGGAGACAGCAAAAATAATAGTGAAATTATATATAGTGTGCATGTATGAAATTCTCAACTTCTTCAAAGTTGCCTACACTTGGATAAATACATATATGTAAATATATTCATATGAAATTAAATAGTATGAATAAAAGTATATTTGTAGAGATTTTCTGAAAATTGTACATCTTGTACCATGAAGGTGTGTCACAGTTTTCTTTCTCAGGTTCCATTAATGAGTTATTTTATTTGTGTCTTGTCCAAGGGAAAATTTATAATACCGTACTGAAGAATCATAGACATGTACAGACCATGGTTGCAACTCCCAATATGATGGTGTGAAGCTCTTTTGGAAGTTCCTACACACTCATATCATCATAGAAGAGCTATATACAAGGTTTCTATTTAGAAGCTTCCCCGGGACTTAATACATATTATAGGACTGAAAATTTGTCTGCATTTTATTTGAGCAGGAACAAAAAAAACATGACACTCATGAGTTACATGCCGTAAAACAGCAGCTATATTGCAGACTTCAGACCTATTGCTGCCATAGTGTCCATGCATAACAGAAGTGACTTACTAATTGTATGCAGTATGATTAAGTCTATGACACGAATAAATTCTCCTACTGAAAAAAGTGGTCAAGATTCTGAGACTGGAATTGACTGAGAACTAAAAAATATATTCTCATCTGAGATAGTTCTTTTTGCATTAATTGGAAAATAACACAGTTATGTGGGAAGGCTCTTTGTGTAGAACCTAAGAGTCTTTTGGGTGTTAGGTTCTGTTGTATCATGTGTTCATCATAGGCTGCCCCTAAGCCTCCTGCCTCTGTACTGTAAAAGAAGCAGAAAGAGTCTAACATATTTAGCTGCTGGACAATTCCATACTGACAGTGTTTCCCAGTCTCACCTTTGCTCTCAGGCATAGAAATTCAGAGTGTGAGGTAGAAGACACAAGATAAGTTCTACATAGGTTCCAAACTAAACAACAACAACAACAAAACAGGAATAGGGAAACCATGATGTGGTGTGATTATTAATTCCAAGGGAAGCCTGCAATATGTCACTGTCTCATTATATAAACAAAATATATATTTCCCTAAGAATAGTCATCCCAAGACTTATGCCAATGAAAGTATTGGGTAGACAAGGCACAAAACACATACAGGGCTTTCTACGTTCTGTGTTGGTGGTGCACACCTTTTTCCATGGACTAGGAAGGAACAAGCATGCGGATCTCTCTGAGTCTATAAGTTCCAGGCCAGCATGGTGTGTAAATGAAACTTCCAGCCAGAGTTTTCACACAGAGAAACCCTGTTATCAGAAAAAAATAGCATCTGTATACCAAAACTATATGACAATGCAAAGCAACACTAGGACTCACAGCTGTAATCTTTTTAATCAAACAGTCCCTAACTGGTATTTTGCATGGGTTGGGTCTCCTGGAGGTGTTAGGAGCAGTCTGCCTTGTCTGTGCCAATGTGAAGTCGGGCCTTGGTTATACGCAGGACCAAAGAGCCTGACTAGTACTGACAGTTCTATTAGAACTCCTTGCCTCTGATTGAAGGACTGTGTGCATTAAAATTGAGCATGGTATAAGAACCAATATGGAAACTTATCTCAGTCTAGTAATGGAAGCAAATACTGTGGTAATATTGGAGATCTCCTGCAGAACTCTTGATTCATTTTTCCTTTCCACCTATACGTGTGATGATACAGAAGCAGCAAAATTGAAAAGGAATGACAACAAATAACAATTTACCCCAGTCACTGACTTGAAATATAAAAAGAGAAATCACCTGCTGCTGGTTGCTGGTCATTCTTGGCTGCCAATTGTCACTTCCTTCTGACAGGGTCTGATATGTCGTGTCTGATTAATCTAAGGCTACGTTTAAATTACTCAATATATATAAATTTTTCCAATATGTATATATACATATATAAATGAATGCCTGAAATAATTTTGTAATAGTAATATTATTTTCAACCCTACTGCGAATATATGAAATTTGATTATGGCATGTAACATTGTCAAGACAATTAGGCAATGATTGGAAATATATATTCATAGTATATAAATGCCTTCAACAATTTTGCAATTTTGTATGCTTTTTTGTTTAGTTGCACACATGTCTACAAGCATTTGCATTCACAATTTTTACAAATACTCATGAATTATTTTTACATTATTAGAATCTGTATATTGTAGTTTTGAAAGAATTCATTTCCATCACTGGAATTTTGCTCCCATAATCATTACTATTCCATACTTAGTTCATAGAATTACTCATTTTTAATCACATCTGAATTCAGGGAAATCACCTATCTTCCTGTGACATGGGGGAATGTATTAGGAACATCCACAGAATCTCAGCACAATTGTACTTAGGAAATTCAGTCTTCCCTTTTCATCCCTTCATTAAGTATTATATGCCAACCTAATAATATTTGCTTAGTTGTCCTTCTTCAGAATATAGTGGAATGTTCACTTTGTTTTATAGTGAAATTCTTATGTATGAAATCTCAGGTTATAAAAAAAGTGGTAAATTTGCCATCATATTGTAGTACATGACAAATTTTTTAACAATGATAGATTGTCACAGTGTTTCTCACTGCTAAGGCATTTGCCTAACATGGTCTTTATCTGGCGAGTATCACTCAGTGATATTATTGATCCTCCCTCTAATTCATGTCCTGGGATTACATGGTGATATAAATATTCAATATTTATAATATACATAAAAAGAGATCCTAGTTATTCTCATCTTCTATAGTTCATGTTTCTGAAGAAAAATAAAGGCAAAATGCAACAAAGTAAATATTTTTCAGAAAACATGATGCTAATACCCTTATGTATGCAACTGTTCTACTTCTTTCCAGTCTCTGATATTATACTTGCATTCACTAAATTTCAACATTTGTTTTCTTACTGCTGAATTAATACCTTAGGGTCCATAAAGTGTTTCTGCTGTTTGTCTGGAATCCTCACAGATATAGAACAAGAAGAATACCAACGGGTCTCCTGCATATAAAAACTGCAAGATTCCATAAAATTATTTTCTATACTAATTTTTCTTAAAAATAATGTTCTTTCAACTATTCCTAAAACTACTAAGCTCTTATAGGTATCCTGCTGATCTAAATATAACTTTTTTCTACTCTTAATCTTCATGCAGTGTACATGTAAAGACATCAGCTAACAGAACTAAAAACACCCAAGACAAACTTGATGATATAACAGCCTCTTCAAATGTAAGAATTTAAAAATTTAACCCATCATTGGTAATTCCTTATTTGCCTGAATGTTTTCATCCTGTTTTATGTAGTGCAGATAATCTCATTTAAAGAAAGACAAATTATTAACAATCTAGTAGCTTACCTCTATATACAAGGCTAGGGATATATTGAACATGGAAAGAGACATTAATCAGCAATATCTCAGAAGACATAATTTTTAATTGATTTCTAAATGTTTATCCTGGTATCAAAAGGCAGCTTTAGATGTAACTATCAGAAAAGAACCATCATTTTCATCACTATTAGAAAAGTCCACAACTGTACAAATTGATAAGAACATACAGTGTTGTTTGTAGGGAACCCTGATTAATCCAGAAAACTCACCATTATTTCTAGATTTCAGAAAATATTGCATGCAATATTCAGGCACTGTTTATGATATTTGGGAATAGATTATATCCTGTGGATAATGTGTCTTATAAGAAAGATAGGGAAGTTAAAAACACAAACATGAACACCAACAAAAAAACCCCAACAAATCAAAACCAGAAAAAGAACCAAAAACTAGCAGAGAATGATGACACAAATTGTCATGCCAGAACATATTGGAACCTGAATCAACTTCAAAACTTATCAGAAAAGTCAAGTAAAATGATGCATGCTAAGATATGGACAACCAGGTTTTAATGGACAATAACTTTGCTAGGCACAGAAATTCAGGATGTGAATTAGGAGACACAAATGAGATCTATCTTGGTCCTAAACACACACAAGTACAGGGACCACAAAACAACAATATCCAGTGTGTTAATTGCTTTCAATGGAAGGATGTAATACCTCATGGTCACTATAAATAAATGAGATGTTTCCAATATTGACCACTCCTTGCATGAAGTCAAACAAAGTAATGAGGAGAGGAACAAAAAAATGTATAAGCGTTTCTATATGCCAGAATTGAATGACAATGCCAACTAAGATTAGGAAGGTGAACCCCTGAGAGTCTAAAGACAACAAGATGATGAAATGAAACTGTGGTGATACATTATTCATGATTTATTACAGTTTTACTGAGGACTCAGACTACAAAGTCAGTCACAGGCCTTAGCAGGCAGGCACATACCTTTAATCCCAGCAGCCAGAAACTAGGAGGTGCACACCTTTAATCCTAGGACTGAGCATTAAGAGGTTAGTTGGATCACTTTGAATCCAAGGCCACCCAGTTCTACAGGAGAGTAAATCAGTCTAAAAGAGAATTATAACTCACACCTTTAATACCAACTTAGGGAGTATATAAGACAGAGGCAAAGTCTGAGTAGAGGCATTAATTCACTAGATACACTGAGGAGAGGCAGTAGTTTGAGGCTTGGTAAAGAGCTCATAATTGGATCAGTTTTTTTCAGCCTCAGCTAGAGGTGAGTCCTAGTGGCTGGCTGCTTTGCACTGCTGATCTTCATTTTGAAACTAAAGCACCATTGTCTGGGTCAATTATTTTTCATGTTACAAGAAAATTTCATATGCTACCTTTTATTGTTTACCCAGAGCCTCTAGTGAATGGCAGGGTTGTGTCTGCAAATGTAAATGCTCCGTATTTCCAGTGACTAAAAATCTGACAATAACATGGCCATTCCCACGGTGGATCTCCCAGGGATTGGAAAAAAATGATCCCCCTTTTCTCTATCAGATACTAAAGGCTGAAGTGAAATAACTTCATTGCAGATAATGCAGCACTGAGACAAGGACAGCTATCTTACATGATAAGCTGTGGCATCAGATGCAGGGTCGAACTTGCTTCACAAGAGACAGGAGCAGGGGAGTCAGAGTTGTAATCTTTGGATTCAGACAATCCCTGCCTTTTCTGATTCTCATTGGCTCTGACTCCTGTAGGTGTTATGAGCAGTCTGCCGTCTCTGGGTCAGTGTACATTTGGCTTCAGTTATACCCAGAGTTAACCTAGTCTTGGAGCACAGACAGAGCCTGCCTGTTCAGAAGTCACACTAATGATGTTTTTATTAGCACTCCTTGCCTCTGATTGAATGACTGTGAGCATTTAAACTGTGCAGGAAATAAGAACCAATAAGAAACGTGGTCTCAGTTCCAGCACTGGAAGCAAAACCTGTGGTAACTTGGAGATCCCAATCAGAACTGTTTATTCATGTCTGCCTTCCACCTAAATGTGCGCTGCTGCAGAAGCAGCAATATTGAAAACACATTCTCATAGAACCATAATTGTGTCTGGGCTCCAACTCCAATTATCAAAAGAATAGAACAGATCATAGCAATTGGGTGTCATCATATATCCTGATGCTAGGGATGACTTTCTGGCTCTCTACAAGAAATCTTGCCTTTCTGCCTGCTGCTGCCTGACTGGGATTCTCGGCTGTCATTTTCAGTATCCTTC